TCTCTCTCTCTCTCTCTCTCTCTCTCTCTCTCTCTCTCTCTCTCTCTCTCTCTCTCTCTCTCCTCTCTCTCTCTCTCACTCTCTCTCTCTCTCTCTCTCTCTCTTTCTCTCTCTGTCAACTTGCTCCTTCACTCCCTCTATTTTCGTAACACCATTAAAATAGGGAGAGAGGGAGAGTAGCCTTGAGGGAGCAACCTGACGTTGTAAGAATTCTCTTGTTAAAGCCGATGATCCTTCACTGGTGTACATGTGTACACGGCTCTCTGTACACCAGGTACATTTCTACGGGTGGGCACACTGTGTGTGTGTGTGTGTGTGTTCACTTCTGTATGTGTATATTACTACTTGAGTGCACCTGTACTCAGCTCTTGTGTGTGCATTGTTCTCTCTCTCTCTCTCTCTCTCTCTCTCTCTCTCTCTCTCTCTCTCTCTCTCTCTCTCTCCTCTCTCTCTCTCTCTCTCTCTCTCTCTCTCTCTCTCTCCAGTACATCTACAATGTTGCTTCAATTCCTTATTTTTTTATACACAAAGTTGATGGCAGTTTTAAAACCAAAAACTTAAGAGACGTTGTTGTGTCTCGATACTGTCTGTGAGGGAGATTACAAGATGTATTTGTTCACTGTTTATGTGGTGTGTGTAATCACCTAGTTGTGGTTGAATTGGTCGAGACATAGCTCCTGGCCCCGCCTCTTCACTGATCGCTACTAGGTCCTTTCTCTCCCTGCTCCATGAGCTTTATCATACTTCTTCTTAAAGCTATGTATAGATCCTGCCTCCACTACATCACTTCCCAAACTATTCCACTTTCTGACAACTCTGTGACTGAAGAAATACTTCCTAACATCCCTATGATTCATCTGAGTCTTCAGCTTTCAACTGTGTCCCCTTGTTGCTGTGTCCCATCTCTGGAACATCCTGTCTCTATCCACCTTGTCGATTCCTCTCAGTATTTTATATGTCGTTATCATGTCCCCCCTATCTCTCCTGTCCTCCAGTGTCGTCAGGTTGATTTCCCTTAACCTCTCCTCGTAGGACATACCTCTTAGCTCTTTGTGTGTGTGTGTGTGTGTGTGTTTGTGTGTGTGTGTGTGTGTGCGTGTGCGTGTGTGTGTGTGTGTGTGTGTGTGTGTGTACTCACCTAACTGTGCTCACCTAATTGTGGTTGCAGGAGTCGATACTCAGCTCTTGGCCCCGCCTCTTCACCGACCGCTACTAGGTCCTCTCTCCCTCTGCTCCATGAGCTTTATAATATCTCATCTTGAAACTATGTATAGTTCCTGCCTCCACTACATCGCTTGCCAGACTATTCCACTACCTAACTACTCTATGACTGAAGAAATACTTCCTAACATCCCTTTGACTCGTCTGAGTCTTCAACTTCCAATTGTGACCCCTTGTTTCTGTGTCCCATCTCTGGAACATCCTGTCTCTGTCCACCTTGTCTATTCCACGCAGTATTTTGTATGTCGTTATCATGTCTCCCCTGACCTCCTGTCCTCCAGTGTTGTCAGACCGATTTCCCTTAACCTTTCTTCAAAGTACATTCCCCTTAGCTCTGGAACTAGCCTTGTTGCAAACCTTTGCACTTTCTCTAATTTCTTGACGTGTTTGACCAGGTGTGGATTCCAAACTGGTGCTGCGTAGTCCAGTATGGGCCTGAACGATTCCTTACTGAGGTACCGGAACGCTATTCTCAGGTTTGCCAGGCGCCCGTATACCGCAGCAGTTAATGTGTGCTTCTGGCGATGTACTCGGTATTATACTCACTCCTAGATCTTTCTCCTTGAGTGAGGTTTGCAGCCTTTGGCCACCTTGCCTATACTCTGTCTGCGGTCTTCATTGCCCTCCTCCGATCTTCATGACTTTGCATTTGGCGGGGTTAAATTCTAGGAGCCAGTTTCTGGACCACGTGTCCAGCCTGTCCAGGCCTCTTTGTAGACCTGTCTGGTCCGCGTCTGATTTAATTCTCCTCATTAACTTCACCTCATCTGCAAACAGGGACACTTCTGAGTCTATCTCCTCCGTCATGTTCACATATGTGTGTGTGTCTGTGTGTGCGTGCGTGTGTGTGAGGAGGGGAGGAGAGTTAGTGGGGACAGAAATACCAGGAAAATAAATACGCCACAAGCCGGAAATAATTCCCAATATATAAGGTCACGAGAGGCCGGAACCTGACAGGAAGAGTTAAGAGGAGCAGGAAGGAGAGGTAGGAGAAGAAGTAGAGGCAAGAGGAAGAGCAGGAGGAAGAGATATGATGAGGAGGAGGAAAAAGAGAAGGAAGAAGAGTTGGCAGGAGGAGGAGGAGGAGGAAGAGGTAAGAGAATGAAGAACAGATGCAGAAGAAACAAGAGGTAGGTGGAAGTGGAGAAAGAGCAGGAGCAGGAGTCAGAGGAGTAGCAGGAGGAGGAGAGCAGTGTTGCCCAACACTGCTGAGTTATCACCAACACATTTCCGGACTGCTAACACACACCAAAATGATTTTTTAACCTTAAGGTCATGACTAGAGGACGAGGAGAGACGTACTGAAGACTTGCACAGGGGGTTTACCAGTAGACCCCTGGCTGTCTTTAAGACCCCTTGATTATCTTCAATTCCCCTGGCTGCCTTCAGGACCCCTTGGCTGTCTTCAAGACCCCTGGCTGTCTTCAGGACCCCTTGGCTGTCTTCAAGACCCCTGGCTGTCTTCACAACCCCTGGGTGTCTTCAAAACCCCTGGGTGTCTTCAAAATCCCTGGGTGTCTTCAAAACCCCTAGCTGTCTTCAAAACCCCTGGCTGTCTTCAAAAACCCTGGCTGTCTTCAAAACCCCTGGCTGTCTTCAAACCCCTGGCTGTCTTCAAAACCCCTGGCTGTCTTCAAAACCTGGCTGTTTAAAAACCCCGGCTGTCTTCAAACCCCTGGCTGTCTTCAAGGGGCGTTGAGACCCCCAAAAGTCAGTACTTGACCGCATGGCTGTGGTTCCCATTTGGTTTACGTGGGCCCAGCAGTAACACCCGGTTTTCGCCCCGGATCCCCCACGGGGCCGGTCAGGACCGGGCCCCGGGGGGGCTTTGCCCCCCGGGAAATACCCCTCCAGGTAGCTTAGAGAGGTGAGGACGAAATTGCAAAAAATAAAAAGGAACAATCCCGTGATGGAACAACACACAAAAAAACCCGACATGGGAAAAGGAAGTTACCACTAACTGCCTCCTCTCCTTTCTGTTAGTGTGACTTTGTAAATGGTCAAGTTGGACCGAAACGTCGTCCTAAGCTCCCCTTTCCTGTGTGCGAGTGATTTGTGTTTGTAATAAGATAAGTTCCACTACTGAAGAGACTACGTTATGATGAGAGGCTAAGTAAACTAGACATGACCAGTCTAAAGCATGACATTACCAGAGGAGACATGATAACAACATACACAGTGCTCGTATGACTTGATAGACTATGAGACTGGAAACTGGTACAAGTGGGCAGGTTGTTAGTTACACTTGCATGAATCACAGGGATATTAGGAAATATTTCTTCAGCCTCTGGGTAGTCAGGAAGTGGAAGGATCTCGACTAAGTGGAGAGAGAGTCCATACATAGTTTTAAGAGTATATATGACAGAGCCCACGAGGCTAGGAGTTAATCTGTATGTGTATGAACACACACACACACACACACACACACACACACACACACACACACACACACACACACACACACACACACACACTTGCAGGGTAAACTTTCAAAAACTCATTCCCCAGACGCCAGACAATAACTAACATATATTTGTTTCCAGTTGAACTTAAGCTGGGAAAACAGAGGCGGTGCTGGAGCCTCAGGCGCTCTACACAACACCCAAACTGCTACCCCTGTAAACCAGGAATATTTTGTATGTTTTTAAGATTTGCGAGCCTGTAAATAAGGTGGAGACTCGTAACTTTGTAAATATGGTGTAAGTATCTCACATTTGTATGCATGGAGAAAATTCTCTATGAATATATTTTATATATTTTGAAGATTTACACTTTTGTAAATTAGAAAAACAAATTAAAAGCATGGAATAGGAATTTGGCACGTATGCAGACAGGGAGACATTGCTGTAAATCTGTGTCCCGTAGCCGGGTTGGTAGCGCACTCATCTCATACACTGAGGTCCAGGGGTCGATACCATGTACGGGTGGAAAGATTAGGACGTGAATCCTTAAGATACCTGCTATCCATTTTCACCTAGCAGTAAAATAGGTACCTGGGTGTTAGCTGACTGTTGCAGGTGGCATCTTTGGGTTAGAAGACTGAAGTATGCGAGTGGATAGGCAAGTTGATGATAGTGGCTTATATTATCCTGGGCTACTAACCCTCTGGATTAATCTTTGGATATATATCCAGGTAAAACATGTTAAAATGTCAGTAAAGCGATTGTGGAAGAGATGACAATTAAGTTAACCAGGAGAGTTTCTCTCTACAAAACATTTATCTGCGAAGCCTGACACTCGAACACGGAAAAGTTTTCCTGCATGGAAGGTTGAGTTGCTGTTGTTGACAAGTGTCAAGGTGGAGGCTGTAGGAGACGCTTTTATTGCCTCACTCTTTATTTACCTGGGAGGATATGGGAGTACGTGGGAATAAAAAAGAGTACATGGGAAATGCAGTTAGTAGAAGACTTGGGAAGTCCACAGTGTGGCTATCTTCTGAGAAGAACTGTCTAATGCTAAAGCAGAAGGCTCTCTCTCCCCAGTCCGTGTAGAGCTTTATAAAGTTATGGTCACATTAACACCTGCATACACTTGAAGATGGAGTGAAAGGGCGCTCCCTATTCTGAGAAATATATTACAGTGCAGGAGAGGAGGGCGAGACCCAGACAGGACGGGAAGACTAAGACGGGAACATACTGACAGGACGGGAAGACTTAGACGAGAACATACTGACAGGACGGGAAGACTTAGACGGTAAGATACTGACAGGAAGGTAAAACTTAAACGGTAAGTTAGTTACTGACGGGACGGGAAGATACTAACGGGGCGGGAAGACTTACATGCATGTGAGCACCGTATCCTGGAGTGCCCATGAAGATCCAGTCAGTTTTTGAGGACTCGGCTGCGTGAGGCAGGAAGTATGGTCGGTGGTAGTGACCTCGCAGGATGTTGGCCGCTGTAGAGTCACAGTTGCTCCTGAAGGAGGAAACTTCCTGTTAACAGTAAAATTCACTCAGAGAGCCAACAGAAGTAACAGTGAATGAGAAAGAATTAACAAGAGTCTCTTTGGTGAGTTGTACTTGTTACTAAGAGAGGAAACGGAGAATTAACAGTGAGATGATTAACAGACTCAGAGGTAACAGTGGAAGAGGTAACAGATGCCTCTGGTGAGTTGCAATTGCTTCTAAAGGAAAGGGGGAAAATTAAACAGTAACTTTTTCAACGGAGAAAACCAACAAAACGAGGAGACCCCGGAGAAAGGGGGGAACCCCACTAACAGGAAACTGAAAAAATTAAACAGAGGGAAAGGAAAGAGAGAGAGGAAAACACGGGCCCTTTAAAAAAACCCAGAAAGAATAAACGGGAAAGGGGGGGCAGAGAAACACATATACGACACAAAACGGGGTTTCCAAAATTTTACTGTTTGCCCCTACTGTTTTGCCCCAACCCCCTTTTTCTTCCCACCTACTTTTTTTTGACCAATTTGTCTTGCCCCAAATCGTTTCTACAAACTGTCTTGCCCCCACTGTCTTCCCACCCACTGTTTGCCCCCACTGTCTTTCACCCACTTTTTTTCCCCCCCACTGTTTTCCCAAAACCCCACTGTTTTTCCCACTGTTTTGAAACCCACTACTTGCACCCACGGGCCTTGCACCCATGCCCTTGCCACCCACGCCCTTCCCCTATTTGGTCTTCCACCCCACTGTCCTCCCCCCCTTCTGTCCCCCCCATTGTCTTGCACCCACTGCTTGAACACTGTCTTCCCACTGTCTTGCCCCATTTGTCCCCCCCCCCCCCCCCCCCACTATCTTTACCCACTTTTTTTCCCACTATCTTCTCCCCACTGTCTTAAAACCCTTTTTTTAAAACTGTCTTCCACCCAAATTGCCCTTTCCAGTGCCCTTCTCCCCACGGTCTTCCCACTGCTTGCGCCCACTGTCTTCCACCCAAATCATACCCAAAATTTTCCCAAAACCCCCCTTCCCCCCCTTTAAACCCTCCCCCCTCCCTTATAAATATAAGGGTGAGGGAAAAGGGGGGGAAAATTTTTAAAGCCCCCAAAAAGATTTGAATTAATAATGGAACCCTTTTTGGAGAGCACAAGCAATTGTCTGAGAGCAGGGTTTAGGGTTTGGGGGGAATGTTTTGGGGAGGAGATTTCCGGGAGGGAGTTGGGTGTGTGGTGGGGGCGAGTGTTTGGGGGGGGATTTTGATTTTTTGGTATATGTGTGTGGGGAGGGTATGTAGGGGGGTGTGTGTTGTGGTGTGTGGGTGTGTGTGTGTGGTGTGTGTGTGGTGTGTGGTGTGTGTATTTTTGTGTGGGTGTGTGTAGTGTTTTGTGTAGTGTTGTGTATTTTTGTGTGTGTGGGGTTTTTATTAGTGTGTTTGGGGGTGTGTGTGTGTGTGGCGTGTGGGGTAGTGTTGTGTGTGTGTGTGTGTGTGGGGTGTGGTTGTGTGTGTGTGTGTGCGTGTGTTTTGTGCGGTGTGGGTGTGTGGTGTGTGTGTGTGTGTGTGGTGTGGGGTTGTGTGTGTGTGGGGTTTTGTGTGTTTGGGTGTTGTGTGTTTTGTGTGTGTGGTTCGGGGAAACCCGACTTTTTTTGGGTTCCCTGAACCACCCATCTAAAACCTGCAGACACTCCCAACTTCTTGGGATCTTAATACTTAGGAATTTTTTCCCCTTTTGGGCAATTCCCTTTGGGCAAAACCTATTCCACTTTAAAACAAATGTTACACACCTATGACGCTGCCCCTCCCCGGGCCAAAAACGGTTTATAAGCTCCTTCCCCACAAAAAACCCGAAATTCTTTTCAAGTTTGAGGGCTAAACCACATCAACTTAAGGTTGGGGGAAATGATTACCTCATTCTCCTCCTGTTTTTAAAGATTCTCCTTGTATGGACTTTAAAGGAATTTTCCCCAACCCCTTGTTTGGCAAAAACTTTTCCCAAAAAAGAAAACCCAAATTTTGCACATTTTGTCTAATTTATAAACATGTCGGTTCCCTGAACCATTCATCTGATCTTTTGCTCCTTCCTAAGGCCCCAAAGGGAGTTTGTTGCCCGGGCCCCCAGGGGCCTTTTGGCGGTGTCAAGGTCATTTTTGGGGTTTCCTTCCCCTCCTCCTCATTTTTTCGTATGTCACCAACACTTGTTGGTATATTCCCTTTTGGGTGTTTTCCTTTTTTGGTCCCTTTTTTTTTTTTCCCACGGGCCCCTTCTTTTTCTCAAACTTTTAAAAAATTTCCTTAATTAAATCTCCTTTTCCCGCTCCTCACATCCCCCTGATCATTTTTTTGTGAGTTCTCCACCTTCGGGTTCCTTTTAATCCTGATCCCGGGGTC